CCAAATATGGCCGAATTGTTCATGGCCCTACACCAAGAGAAACATTTCCACACAACATACAATTCTACTATTAACTCATACAAATACTCCACAACTCAATTACACGATCATCCCACATAGTCATTTCATAAAGTGTTGAATCATCCAATCCAAAATTTGCCTAAGTTACCAAATAAATCCACAATAATTTTTATTACATTTATCACTCCAAAACATCATTCTAAGTCACTTTTATCTAATACACAATTTTAATTTGAGATCTCTAACTACATCAATCACACAAACATGCTCTAGGTTTCATGAAAATTGATCTATCAATTCAACCAACAAAAAGTGTTGAAACTTACCCACAATCAAGTCACAAGACTCCTCCAAGTGATCCCCAAGCAATGGCTTGAGAAAACAACTCTAAAAACCCTAAAATTTCCTCCTAGGTCGTAGCTGGTTTTTCCCTATTTCTCCCAAATGAGTGAGTTTCAAGGGTTGGGAGTAGCACGGTTGCGTTCGGATGATGTTTTACTTCAAATTTCATGTAGTGGAACATTAATTTTGGTGGAGATTTGATGTAGTTATGGTGAAATGAAGTTTTCAAAGCAATTTTTGCATACCAATGAAGGGGCTGCGGGTTTGGAGAAGAAAGAGGGAGGAAGGGGATGATGAAATAGTGATTTGGCCATGTGGCACAAGTCACTTAAGTGAGGTGGGTCCCACCGCCACCTCACGCGATTCAAACTAATTCAAATCTCCCGCTTAAACCACTAAACGTTCATTAACTCGTAGACTATTTAGAAACTCTAATTATTAACATTAACCATTGTCCTTTAATTACCCTTTGTAAGATGAATCCGGAGTTTTCCGGTCGTTCGGAGAAATCACAGTTTTAAGCGTTGCGTGCGTCGAGGGCACGCTTCCCCAAACACACTAATTTCCATCAATTTTCACCGGAAATCATATTTTCTAGTCCTATATACCATTTATAACTTATATTCAAACCTAGAGCTCAAAATTCTATCGGTGCGCTTTACGGTGCAACTGTACCGCAATATTTTTACTCGGTAAAAACACTATTCACCAAAATTTCTGAAACTTGCCTATCCACTTAATTTTTCGTTCTGAATCCATTTCAAGGGTTATTTTTATTATTTGAGACCTCTTACTCAATTTTACCTTCCTAGGGTTACGTGTTTGGCTAATTATCGTTTTACCCTTCCTTTGTATTTTGACCTAATTTTCAGGATTTTCACTAATCCTACCCTTTAATCCGTATTTACTATATTAATACATGTTTTAGAAGTGCGAGGTGTTATAGTAGCCACTCAATTTCAATGCCAAATTCGAATTTTACAGTCTGATAATGGGACCGAATATTCAGATAAATCTTTTGCGCAGTTCTTGAATCACATGGGAATTAGACATCAGACCTCTTTTACTTATACACCACATCAAAATGGTTTGGCCGAAAGGAAGAATAAACAACTTATGGAGGTTGTTCGTGCTTCTCTCTTTGGCATGAATATGCCCCGTTTTTACTGGGGTGAAGCTGTTCGCTCTGCTGCTTATTTGATTAATCGTACCCCTTCTAGTGTCATCAACTTTGTGACTCCGTAACAGAAGTTTGAATCACTACTTTCAGTTCCCCATATTCCCAATCTTGAGCCTCGTGTGTTTGGCTGCACTGTTTATGTCCATATTCCCAAAGTACTGCGTAACAAACTAGATCCATGTACTAAAATGTGTGTGTTTGTTGGTTACTCTGATGTTCAAAAATAATACCGGTGTTATGATCCCCAACAACAAAAAGTACATATCACTTTAGATGTCTCTTTTCGGGAATTTGAACCTTATTATTCAGGGGGAGTTTCTGGGTCTTCTCTTCAGGGGGAAAGTTACTATGAGGAGCAAGACCAATTAGCCACTTTGAATGGAGGAGGAACTGAAGCAACATATACAGGTGTGGAGAATGTTGAAGTCTTACACTCTGACTCTCTGGTAACAACAAAGATACCTTGCTTAACACCAGAAACTGAGGGATCTCTTCGGGACCACCATAATCCAACAGAGGTAATTTCTAATCCTACTCCTCTTGAAGAAAATATCTTTCAGAATAATAATCTACCCACTACTGAAAGTGTCATTGTGTTTCCTGATATTCCTACTGAAACCATGATTGATTCTGGTGACGTAACTCTCAGAAGATCACATAGGATCAATAAGGGTGTAGCAAAGGAACTGTATGAACCTGACCCCAATGCTAAAGCTAAATATCCTATTAGTAACTATGTGTCTAATCACAGGTTGTCTGAGTCATATGCTCTTGTTGTTGATTAATTGTCCAGTATATCTGTCCCTAGTAATTTGCAGGATGCATTGGAGGATCCGAATTGGAAGAAGGCAATGAATGATGAAATGGAGGCCTTGCAAAATAACTCTACATGGGAGCTTGTGCCCTTATCGGATGGCAAAAGAACCATTGGATGTAGGTGGGTGTTTACTATAAAGCTCAAGGCAGATAGAAGCATTGACAGGTATAAAGCTAGATTGGTGGCAAAAGGATACTCGCAAAAGTATGCAGTAGACTACTAGGAAACCTTTGCACCAGTAGCTAAACTCAATACAATCCGGATAATTATGTCCATAGCTGCAAATAGAGATTGGCCACTACGACAATTTGATGTAAAGAATGCCTTTTTAAATGGAGATCTCGAAGAAAAGGTGTACATAGAGATACCACCAGGCGTCAAACAAAGTTCTTTTAGTGAGAATAAAGTTTGTAAATTGAAGAAAGCCTTATATGGACTTAAACAATCCCCTAGAGCATGGTTTGAGAGATTTTCTTCTGCAATGAGGAGATTCAGATATAAACAAAGCAATGCTGACCACACCTTGTTCATTAAACACAAGGAAGGAAAAATGACCGTATTGATTGTCTATGTAGATGACATGGTCCTGACAGGAGATGACATAGATGAGATGAAACTTCTGCAAAAGCAACTAGCAAGTGAATTCGAAATGAAAGATCTAGGAGACTTGAAATACTTCTTGGGAATTGAGATAACAAGATCAAAACAAGGTATTTATCTTTCACAAAGGAAATATGTACTAGATCTCCTCACTGAGACTGGAATGCTCGCGTGTAAGCCAACAGAAACACCGATTAAGATGAATCATGTGCTTGAAATATTTCAGAATCAAAAGCCAACAAATATTAGTTAGTACCAAAGGTTGGTTGGAAGACTGATATACTTGTCTCATACGAGGTCAGATATTGCATATGCCGTAAGTGTTGTAAGTCGCTTTATGCACAAACCAAGCGTAGATAACATGAATGCAGTGTAGCGAATTCTGAGGTACTTAAAGGGTGCCCCTGGACGAGGATTGTTGTTCTCAAAAAACAATGTCATATGTGTTGAAGGTTACACTAACTCTGATGGGGCACAAGATAAAACAACAAGGCATTCCACATCAGGCTATTTCACCTACGTGGAAGGTAATTTAGTTACTTGGAAAAGCAAGAAACAGAAAGTAGTAGCAAGATCAAGTGCAGAAGCTGAATTTCGAGGCATGGCTCAAGGAGTATGTGAGCTATTATGGGTCAACAACATATTAAAAGACTTGGGAATTTGTTATGACAAACCAATGAATCTCCACTGCGATAACAAGGCTGCCTTTGAAATAGCAAATAATCCTGTGCAACATGACCGAACCAAACATGTGGAGATTGACCGACATTTTATCTAGGAGAAGCTAGATCAGAAAATTATACAGTTCCCATTTGTTAAATCTGAAGATCAATTAGCTGATATACTTACTAAAGCTGTTTCTGAAAGAGTTTTTCAAGGTGCAATTGACAAGTTGAACATGATTGACATCTACGCTCCAACTTGAGGGGGAGTGTCGAGTTGTATATTTTTTATAATTGAAAAGATTTAATTTCTGATTTGATTGACCAATTTATGTAGTAATTAAAGGGAATCCGTTACATAGAGTGATTGTAGGAATTATGTGGAGAGATTTTATGAGTTTTAATTTCCTGATTATTTGTAATTTTCTTTCTTGATTTATGGCTGATTTGTAGCTTGATTTGTAACTCTAGGACTTTGTATATAATGACCTCTATTGAGATAGAAGAAATACAAATGAATTACTATTCTATAGAGTTTTTTGATTTCTAACAATTTTAATGTACAAAAAAAGCTTGTAATTATTAAAACTTCTTATATTGATTTTATCATGTTTGTTTGTCTTGAAATACTTCCTCACAAGTGAGCATTGACTCTTCAATAGTTCTTGCAAATATCAGTACAGTTTGAGATAAGTCAGAAGCTTAGTTTTTGCTTTCGAAAGCTTAGTTTTTGCTTTCGAAAGAAGTTGCTTAGCCTTCCCGCACCAATAATGTGACATGTTATTTTTATTGGATTTTGTTTTTAATATGAATTGTTTTCTCATTCTAGGGTGTATGCGTCAAATAATAGTTTTTTCTTTTGTCTTTCATATTTTTAATTAGTTTATGGGTTTAATTTTTTTTTAAAGATCCAACAAAATTCCATTCAAAATTAATTATATAATATAATAAATAATACATATGAACAAAAATAATAAAATCTTCTATTTATTTTTCATTTTAAGCTTTGTGAAATGCCCAGGCTACAAATTTATTCAATAAATAAGCAAAATAAAGTAATTAACCTTCTATATAAAAAGCTCAAAATAAAAATATATTAGTAAAATATATGTAAGAATTTCGACAAAAATTGATCGTAAAATATACATATAAAGATACATTCACAATTTCTAAAAAATAAAATAACAAATACAATCACTATTAAATTTTAGTAAATTATAATCATTGTGCGCTCTTAAATTTTTTTTTTTTTGATAACATGTGCGCTCTTAAATTAAAGCAATAATATTCTACACATTATTTAGAGCAGCAATTTAAAGCAGTAATAGCGCAGAAAAGCAAAAGGCCCTTATTGATCCACTTGGTGGTGTTGTAGGAGCGGAGAGAGCAAGAGGCAAGAGTGGACAGTGAAGAAGGGGATTGTTCGTTCCATGCTTACCTAATTGCGATGTCTATGGTTCGGCCTTCAGTTCACCCAATCGAAGCCCCACCACTCACTGACCATGCGATGCCAAGGCATACCTTGAAGGACATACAGGGCATGCCTGGCACGCTCGGTGGTTTCATTTTGCGTTTTCTTCAGTTCTCCTTTGCTCTTGTTTCCCTCTCTGTCATGCAGAGCGCCAGTGATTTCTCTTCAGTCACCGCTTTCCGGTATTCTCTCAACGAGATTGTTTATTTGGCCTTTGTTGATATGCTTTGAAATTGGGTCTATGATAATTATTGATATGGCCTTCTGTTTGGTGTCGGAAATCAGCACCCCAGTGAATGTGATGTCGTTTGTGAGTCCTTGAAGTTGATTAAATGGTTTCTTATGTAAAAAGTGCAAGGAATTTGTGTTTGGGAATCTATTAGTAGAATGAAACATTGTTCTTTTTTTTTTTTCTTTTAAAAGTTTTGAAAACTCTATTTCTTTTAATCAGTCTATTTCATGCATTTTAGACCATAAATCACTGTTTCCATTCCATTTTCTCTCTTAATGAATCCAAGGACTAGTTTATCTCCTGTTATGGCAAGTGTTGCTCTCGGTTTGCTTCACGGTCATGTCAAGTAGAGAAACTGTACCAAGTTTGTTTTATGGGTTGAGTGATTTGAGAAGGTGGATAATGTTAATTTTTTTTTTTTGGATACGGATAATGTTAAATTTTGCATGAAACTAAGGTCTATATGTGAACTTGTTATGATGAATATAGCTTTAATTAAGCTATTATTTGTTCTGTTGTTGATCAGTAGGAAAATGTAACCTTTTTTTTTAACCTTGCTTTCATTGTTGGGCTGACAGTACTCATCAATATTTACCAGCCCGCTTTTCTCTCTGTGGTCTGAGAAGTGACATTAATTGTGAATATTTCATTCAGATTTCAGCCTTGAATGTTTTACGTTGTTTTGCTGTTGTAGAACACCATATTGCTTATCCAGCGGCACATAACAAAGGCCTGTTTATGAGAAAATATGGATTGGAATACGATAGTTCTGGTTAATGCTACCTCAAATTTTTATTTTACCTATCATGAAAGGGCATTGGATATGGATTCATCCTTTGTTGATATGCAACTGATAAGTGTTTGTTCAATAATGGTTTTGCCATATTATGGTAACAACTCTGAATTAAGATCTTTTAGAAATGATATATATATATATATGGGGCAGGATATTCTTACACCGGTGTAAGAATTAGAAGTCTTACACTCAATCTTGACCATTGATCCACTTGTATCCAATGGCTCACATTACTAAAAAATTTGAGCCCTTAGATAAAAGTGGGATTAACGGCTAAGATTAAGAGTGTAACTTACACTGGTGTAAAATGATCTTTACCCATATATATATGGATAAACCACAAGTATCATCCATGGGAGGCAATCATGTTCGGGGCGGGTCCAGGATTAAGGCTTGAAACCCCTCCCAAAGATGGTATTGGGGAGGATCGAATACATCCTCTCACCCCATCTGCTAAAAAATGCTGTATATTTTAATCCTAAGGATTTTGAACAAAATTTACTCTAAACCTGTTATCTAGTACTATAAAATATTTTCGTTTAAAATACTATAGAACGTTGTTTATTTGTTATTGGGATAGGTTATTCTACCTACCTCTTTTTCTGCCTACCTTTGTCTATCACTTTAGTTGAGATTCTGATCTAATGGTGTTGGAGAGTGGTAGTCAAAGATAAACAGAAAAAAAGGCAGGTAGAATAACCTATCCCTTTGTTATTAGTGTTGTAATATGTTAAAACAGTCAATGACTTGGAAAGTGTTTAGAAAGGAGTATTGTTAAGGACAATAGGAATTTGGAGACAGATGGATATCGAGGCTGACCACTAGTTTGTGCAGGATGCGGGTAGGTTTCATTTTAATGTAGGATTGTCTTGTTTTGCATTTTTTGCTAGAGGTGTCATTGGTAATGGTCCTTGCCTAACTGGGAGTTCATAGGGGCTAATTCTTAACTTTAGCCGTATGGAACCCTATGCTTTTAAAAGTCTATTTGGTTAGATTCTGGTAGATTACTTCTTTTTTTTGTTTCTTTTTGTTGTTCCAACCATTCTTATGCAGTCTTTTTTTGGTCTAGTGTTCAACTTTATTTTCTTTTTTCTTGATTTTTATTGAGGTTCATGATAGGATTGGGCTCCTGTTTGGCCGTGTTATACAATTTCTACTTTCAGGGAATAATGCTTTTTTAAACTTTGCTTTTGTAAAACCTCCTCCCATTTTGGAGTGATCATTCAAGAAGTATTTAAAGTTACTTTATTTGTTTGGCCATTGGCTGGAAAAAGTGTTTTCAATTGTCAAAATACCAATGACACAATGCACAAGGCGAAAGGAAGAGCAAGGGGGCAACAACATGTGTTGTTCTGATGTTGCTTCTGAAATTCTGCTTGTGTGGTGGCAATGAACTTCTCTACTTTCACCAAACATCCAATTAATTTAGAAAGAAATATGATACGAATATACTATTTCAGGGTGTATTTTAAGTGCAATCATAGGGGAACAGGGGCTCCAAAAGGTGCTGAGGTGGCTAACTAACTTTGCGAGGGAGTTGGTTACAAATAGGAAAGGGGGGGTTTAGTATAGGGCATATGAGAAAGTTGGGACTGGGCTAGGAACCTGGGAGAGAAGGGTCGAATTGCATCTATTGTTTGTAATTCCTTTATGTCATTTACCTTATTAATTTCTTGTCATTTTCACAGTTTTGTAATCTTCCTATTTCAGCGGCTACTGCTATTATTATTGCTTGTAATTTTTCTCTATACTTTCTGTAAAGAACCTTGGGATACACCACCCCAAAAGCTAGCTCAAGGGGTGAGAGTGCCCAAGGCCTTATAAACTTCACATTCGTTGCACATACAACCAATGTGGGACTATATATCTCAACACGCCCCCTCACACAAGAGCCCATTGGGCTTGAAGAGTGGAAGATGCAACAGGCCCAACCTACCTGTGCTAAGAAAGTCCACAAGAGAAAGTGGGGGTGGCGAGGCTCTGATACCATGTAAAGAACCTTGGGATACACCACCCCAAAAGCTAGCTCAAGGGGTGGGAGTGCCCAAGGCCTTATAAACTCCACATTAGTTGCACATACAACCAATGTGGGACTATATATCTCAACACTTTCAATATATAAAATCTAGTTTTTATCCAGGTAATTCCCTTGTAAACCTTTTATTTTTTTGTTTTTGAGTAGAAGATCCTTTTAATTGCTATTAGAGCTTCTGATGTAGGAGCTCTATGAATCATGGCCATGCTAAGAAGAGAGAATATGGATGAAGAAGTTATGCAACAGTTAAATGATCGCTTGAGATCTAAAAGGGCAATTTCCCAAGTTCAATGGAGAAGACAATTAAGCTTTGGGATGGTTAATCTTTTTTGAACTTTATTTCCAGGTAGGCAGAAGCCATGAAGATGAGAAGTTGACAGAGGCTGTGATGAGGCTTAAAGGGAGTGTATTCAGTTGGTACAAATGTTGGAGTTGGCTCAATCCGAATGCTAGTTGGTGGACTTTTTTGAAGGCATTTTTACAAAGATACAAGCCTGAGATATGTTTAGCAGATTAAGATGCAAAATCAGACTTTCCAAAGTCAAAAACGCAGAGGCAAAAAGATTTTTTGGACTTTGGTTGAGAAAACAAAGAACATGGAAGAGAAGGAGACAAAGATCGTGGAAGAGAAGCATGAAACATAGACTATTGTAGAAAAATGCACTATAGACGAGAAGGTTGTCAATACCCCCCCAAAAAAAAGAAAGAGGAGAAACGAAGGGGAATCCATGGCAACAGATAAAAGTCAACCACTCAATTTGGCGATGACAAAGCATAAGGAAGAAGGTATACAAAGTGAAGAGAGTATAAATATGAGCAAGGCTCTAAGTGCACAAGAGCCAACGACGTTATAACCATCGGTAGTAGTCGATCCACCACCATTACCGAAGCCTCTGGACTTGAATCATATGGTGAGGTATGAAGCACGAATACCTGAAAAAAAAAAATTCCAACGTATCGGACACACGTCCGATGCGGAAACATTTCGGATACTCATTTTGGCGTATCAGATGGGTCAAATATAGTCAAATGGCACTTCGGTAAATTTAAAAAAATGAATGGTGTTTTTTGGCCCAAGAATACCCTAAATCAATCGAAATCTGAGAGCTCGCTTAAAGTTCTACTCATCTCGATTTGACAACGTTGTTCTTCTTCCACCGTTTGGTTGGCCGTCGTTGTTCTTCTATTCCCTCCTCCACCGTATCGTTCACAGTCGTTCTTTCTCCTCCACCGTTTGGTTCACCGTCGTCATTCTTCTGTTCCTCCTCCACCGTCGCCGTTTGGTTCACCGTCATCGTTCTTTTGTTCCTCCTCCACTGTTTGGTTCACCGTCGTCGTTCTTCTGTTCCTCTTTTGCTGTGGAGATTAATTTAGAAGTAAAAAAGTTCTTTAGGAGACATTTTTCTAGTGTGGAGGAAAGGTCTACAGTAAATTTGGAGCATGCCAACTTTGTTCAAATGAAGGGAGATTTTAGAGTATTTGAGCTTATTGAAAATCGATATACAATAAAATCGATATCAACCTTTGCTTAAAAAGCTAGCTTTGAAACTCACTGCACAACCCTCTTCTTCATCATGTGCTGAAAGCAATTGGAGTACTAAACGAGCTGAAGACTTAGTTTACATACAATTGAATCTGAATATTATTGTATATTCAAGTGTGTATAAAAGTACAAGAAGACTCTCTATTATAGAGACTAAAAGACCTAATGGGAAGACCTAATGGGCCAAGCCCACAATATGGACTATTCTAATAATAATAGATTAATATTATTTCTAACACTCCCCCTCAAGCTGGTGCGTATATATCAAAAGCTCCCAGCTTGTTACAAATATGATCTATTCGGGGACCTCTAAGAGCTTTAGTGAATACATCCGCAAGTTCATCATTGGAATTGACAAATGCTGTCTCGATCTCCCCTGACTGGATCTTTTCTTTAACAAAATGACAGTCAATTTCTATATGCTTGGTCTTCTCATGAAAGACTGGGTTAGATGATATATGCAAAGTGGCTTGATTGTCACAAATGAACTTCATAGGCCGTTGTTCACAGAGATGGAGTTCCTTAAGCAATTGTCTCAGCCAGATGAGCTCACAGGTTGCATTTGCCATTGCCCGA